TCTATAACATAGTAAGTTATCCATAAAATATAACAAGAAAACAGTATTCAAAATAGAATTATAACCTATTAAGAGTCAAATAAAATTTTAAGACAAAAATCAAATAAAACCAGAGATGAAATCAATCCAAAGCTAGAATGAAATCAGAAAATCTGAAAATTGCTTAGGTAAATTAATGAATAGGTTAAACAAGGAAAGACTAAAGAAATGATTTTATTAAGAGAATAAAAAAATGAATGGCTATGTGTTCCAACTAGAGACACCAGGTATACCAAAAAGAAATGTGAAATTGCTGCCACAACTGTGCTTTCTATAAACGTGTTACCTAAATTATTGGGCTGTCGGAAAAGTATGACGCATTTTTGCAACAAAAAACATAGACAAAATACGTCATGACTTTTCTGACAACCCAATATATGAAGATTGTGGTATGCTAATTATAATACAACATAAATGATGTGGGAATGTTCTCCTATTTTGGCATATTTTTTTCTATGTTGTCATTTAAATATCATTTTATGGCTTACAGAGACAGTGTTCAAAAATATGTCTGCAAAGGAACAATGAAAAAAATACGAGGGAGCTCAAATGTTTCTGCAAATGACCCTGAGTTAATTAGAAAAATCTGCACCCTTCCCAGTTCTTCTCACGTGTCAGGTCTCATTAAATTAAAAAAAAAAATTCTCATTTCATAGTTGAGAAATCCTATGGTTAACAAAACTTTCAAACTGAGATCAAGTGGGCACATTCCTACATTTCTGTATGATGTCATACCGAGCAGTTCACAGATGAATCTGAATTCGCAAGAAGTATGAATGGTTTTTCAATATAAGAAATATCTGATCTAATGCTAATTTTTTCTCTATAGGCTAACTGTGTAGGGAACAGGTGGCCCTGCTTTCAATTATGGAGGAGCTAGCATGCCAGTGTGAGGCCTGGATTAGTTCACCTTCTCACAGGGAATTTTCCTTGGTTGGGAATGGATTTATTATGGCTTCACACATGGAATAGAGCTCATGTCAGCTGAGGGCAGTGACACATCATATGATTCAAATTAACCTGCTGTGGACTGTTCTGCGGGGCTTAGATTGTGTATTAAAATGACGACATTTTAAAAACAGCTTGAAAGAAACCAGGATTGCTGAACTGCAATGGTTCCAATTTGTTCCAACTAATCTATCACCTGCTGGAGATATTATTCTAGTGGGTTTCTGGTAGCTGCTGTTTTCCAGGTTTCTCCAAGCCACTGACCTTGCTAATGGGTACAATTGTTGCCTCTGAAGAGAAGAGGTGGGGGTTGAGAGCTGAAGGAATTTCTGATGTATAAGTTGGGACCTACCATTTGCTCCAAGGTGCTATTAGGTGATCAGAGAAGATAAAGGAACACTGAAGAACTTTGAATTATTTTTCCAAAAGCAAATGCTAAACAGCAGCATTTTTTCATCACTATATAGATAAAATAATCCCTGAAAAATAAATTTGAAAGACTTAATTCAAAAGCTAAGTCTGCACCTTTATGAAGAAAATTTGGGGTTAGGTAGTTATAATCAGTATTTCCTCTATTCTTCAGGGCCGTGACTTTTATTGCTACTGCAACCTTATTTAAAGAGTAAGAAAAGAATAAATGAAAATGTACTATTTTAAAGATGTAGCATAGAACATTCTGTGGGAATGATACTTAAATAAGATGTGGATATAGATAAAAAAACAAATGGTAGCAAACGATTCTTAATGATGATACTGCATAAAAATTAGAAGCATTACTTGCAATACTAAAACAAGGCCTTTTTTATTTTTCAAGAAAAGGGACTGGTATTGGGGAATATTATACAGCTGACGTTTATTCCCTCCTCTCAGTATAAATAATATTCCTTTTAGTATACGATCACCTAAAATCTGTAAAAAAAACCCACAAACCCATAATTTTCTTGAGTTGTCGAAAATCTATAAAATAATACATTCCTAAGCAAGAAATGCTTTAATGTGTCCTATTATTCCTATTGATCTCTAAATTATTATAGAGTGGCAATTTGGCTGTGTAGTGGGGGAATATATTTATTCTATGGACTAACACCTACTTATAAAATGACAAATTGTTTACAGTAAGGACATTTTTGTCTACAACAGTAAATTTTGGAGCAGTTCAAGTAGGTTATGTCAGTGTTTCAGTGGAATCCTGTACAGCTGATACATCATTCAAACTAATCTCCCCTCCAATAATTTATGAAAGAAAAGTACTCTTGGTTAAAAGAGACTCAGAAGAATTGGACTCTTAGATGCTGAAGAACTTAAACCATTCACTGGACACTGTTTTTGATTTTTCATAATAAAAATGCCATTTAAACAAACCACTCCTCATTCTTTGTACATTCCCTCTCTCTTGTGCCCCCCTAACATCTGCAGCTTGGTCCTCAATATCTGTATCTGATGGCATTAAGAAAATCATGTACACACACACACAAAGTGCCAAAAAATGTATACGTATTTTAAGAAAAGAAAAAAACTATTAAAATTGTAATACTCAATATATACTGATAACAAAAGATGAATACAAGTCATGTTTGACTTCTGCAATTATAAGGGGTGCTCAAAGTGGTTACCATCAGCATCCAGATACTTCTGATTATGGCAAATTACTGCTTGAGCAACGTGTCCACTTGTATACATTTTTTTGACACCCCTGGTACACGTACACACACACACACACACACACACACACACACACACACAATTTTTTCTTTCATATCTATGAGTCATATAAACCTTGGTACAAAAAGTGCAGTCTCCAGAACAATCAGAACAGTAGCATCCACTTCACCTTGGAGCTTGTGAGAAATATAGCATTTCTTCCATACCTTCTAGAACTATTAAATAACATTTGCATTTTACCTAGCTCCCCAGAGATGCTTCAAATGTACACTTAAGTTTGAGAAGCACTGCTGTAAAATAACAATTTCAATTCATTTATTTAAAAGTCTGACTCTCCGGCTAGATTTTCACTATTATTGAATGAACGTAAGCTTAGAATGACATATACATAATTTCCAATTTTAAAAAGTATAAGAAACACAAAATACAACTATTTTTAAAAATCACATTTCTACTACATAGTCATATTAAATTCCAGAATTATGATTCACTCATTGACATTTCTCTTAAAATTCAATTTATGTGACTGCCATGGAAATATGGTAAACAATTTACCACAGATTTGCAGGTCTCATCCCTTTTACAAACAAATCAATCAAATGTAAACTAGAAGAGAAATTTCTAGCAAAGTGAGTGGAAGACTGTGCCTAAAAACAAAAGAAATCTGACACTAAAAAACAGAAATAAGGAGTAAACCCAAGTATCCCTGTTACTTTTCCATCAACTAACCATATGATGTTACTCTATTTCATCCATTCTAACATGTTCAGTTTTTTATATATGAACACTTCTGAAGTCAGGAAATTTCCTGCAACTGACATAATAAGAAAGAACTGTATCATAGTTTACAAAGCAGATATTTTTTCTGTTTCCCTAGTGGTACATATTTTTTCCTACAATTGGTGGTGGCTTGGATTCAATGAAATATGGTACTTCACACTCACTAACCAAGTTCTAGGACTCACACTCCTCTCAATCCATCCATTACCTCACCCCAAAGGCTTCCTCCAACTTTAATGACTCCCTTAGCCTTCATCATCAGCTTCTGGCTTTCCTTTGAGTAAATTTAAAACCATGTCTAGATACTCATAATGATCAGAAATAGTGCTTCATACTTCTATACTGTTAAATCCCAGCACTGGAGAAACATGTTTAAGAAGGCCCCATTGAAAGGCCCGTGCAGCTGACTGCAGGCTCTGTTTACTTCAGACATGATGGCGGGCTGCCTTCTCCACTGTAGTTATGAATCCTCAGTGTGTTGGCACCACAGCACACAATGTAACCAGGTGCATATAGGGGTATTTTTCACTCGTCAAAATTCGTGCCTTTCAGAATATTGCTAGAGATCTTAAGATGGTATAATATCACTGTTTTAAATACTTAGTGAATAAACTAATATCCTTTTGATGACTAATATTTTCTGAAGCACTGTAAGTATAAAATAACAAAAGCAAAACTGAAGTGTAGTCCTTTCTGTTAAATAAATAAATAGCTAAGACCTCACTGAGGTGAGGGGAGAATAATAAAAGAGGAGGGGGAACAAGAGATGAAGGAAGAAGAAATAGAGCAGGAAAAAGAAAGAGAAGGAGGATAAGGAGAAGAGAGGAAATACTTAAGCTATGTTAAAATTGCTGTAGTACAGAAGTGGTCTAGGTCTTTGGAGTCATAAAGACCTGGGTTTGGATGGCTGCTCTGCTACTATGACCTTGGGAAATTTACATTACTTTTCTATGTCTTAGCTTCCTTCTTCATAAAATAGGGGTAATTATAGCACTTACTCCTTGGGTTTATATGAGTATGTAAAACACTTAGTATTATACTTGGGACATAATAAATAGTCAATAGATTTTGATATCTGTATGTATCTAAAATTCAGCAAAAATGTTTCAAGCACTTTGCTAAGCATTTGAAATAAGTGTATTTATGTACCTAACCAAATCTATCTCTGTACACTATCGTGTATCTCATCTACCCACCCATCTATCCACCCACCCATTTCATTTTCTTCATTTACAGGTAAAGAAACGAAAGCATAGGAGATTAGATCAATTGCCTAAGGTAACACAGTTAATTAGTAGAAAAGGTAGAAATAAAATCTTAGGCCTTGGGCTTCCAATCAATTATTCTGGAATTGTTAACTACTTTTTGTCAGACTAAAGGTAATTTTTAATATATTTTAATATTTGCCTGTTGATTTCCATAATGGGCAGCCTGAGAAGGATACACTTCTGGAAAATCACTGAACTACTCATTTTTGACAATGAATATCAAGATTATTAACAGACCCTCTGTACATGTTAATATACTCTCATGAAAAAAAAGTACATACATTTGAATTATGAATTTCTTACCTGGTCCATTGAGAAAGTCTTTAATTTGTAGCATCACAAGGGAAGGTGGAATACCACTTTTGCTGTCTATTTCTCCAGGCACCGTCTGTAGCCAAACTGTACAGTAATCAAGGGCTTCAGGCAGAGTCTTTCCAGGATCTGAAGTGATAAAATTGAAATAAAAAATATCAGTTACATCACAAACATCTCATTTTGGTGTAAGAGTTTCAGCTGATAAACAAGAGGAAAAACTGGCTAATTACAGTATGTAACCTTCATTGATTCATTTGTTTGTATACATACAACACACAAGTACTTGTCTGGAGAAAGAGAAGCTCTCTCTGTACAAGGTGGAATGATGAAATCATATTTTCCAGCACAAGGCCAAAAAGGAAAAGACATTTCAAATCTTAACTCATATCACCTTTGAGTGAAGGTAAAATTTCTGTACTCTGAGCTGCTGACTGTTAACAGTTGAACAGTTGATTTTTTTTTTTTTAAACCGGATGTTGGAAACAAATTAAAGAAAACAGTGCAACCTTTTCAGCTTAAAAAACAGGGCATATACATGTTCAAAGAAGCAGTGGATTAGTACTACTTAGGGGTTATTTGATCTGTTTCAGAGTTTTACTGACATTACAATCACTTTTTACTGCTAGGCTTTTGAAGTTAACTTCAGTAGCTTTCCCATAACCTTTAATGATAAAAATTGGTCAATCTTTTAATAGTCCCAATTATAACTAAAACTTGACTTTTTTTCTGGTTTAACTTTTAATATTCAATACTGGTTTTTGATTTTTTTTTTTTTTCTGGTTAACATTCTATGTATTTTTTAAAAGCATTTTTTAGCTATGGGTGATGGCAAACAGAATTTTCTTTTTAATGCTTAGCAAGCCACAGTTTTTATTGAAATAGCTCTTTAAATAAAAACGACTGCTGTATCTTGGCATAGAATGTAGTAAGCTTTTTAAAAACTTCTAAATATTCACAGCTTTTCTTTAGTTTCAAGATTGTTTTACTCTCTGTGTTTTAATGGCCTCTGAATGTCAATTTTATAGGGATGTTCTTGCCATTGAGTCCATCTATTTCATTTTCAGTTGATTTGAAATGTGTTATTAAAGTGTTATTTATTTTAGGTTTTATTGATTGGATTGCTTTCAAGAATAGCATTTACATACAGTGTATTATATTCAACATATGGTTATATAGTATTACTGTCATATGTGAACTGGGCATATAAATTCTGCCTTGGAATTTGTATTTCCTGACCTTATCATGTGATCCTTATGAAATTTGGCACATATGAACCTTTATGTGATTTCAAAGAAAACACTGAAAGCAATTGATCGTGACGTTAGATCTATGTGGTAAAGATCAAACACTAAACTAGTGCATTCTTCTCTTTTTTATATGATCAGTGAATTTAAAGCAGTGAGAATATGCATAGTAGATCCATTACATAGTAACACTATACTAGTCTCTTTTTAAAATATAATGGTCAAGTCTGGTGAAAGGATGGCAAAAGTTTGTTGCTGGTAGGAACTATAATCAGTTTGCAGGAGCTATATAACCTGCTAAGACCTGAGTGTCTATTTCTAGGACCTCACCTATGTAGCCATCATCAAGAAGCTATTATGATAAAGTAAGTTGTACTGTACCAGACCTATATGAGGAAATATAATTCTCTATTGTAAAGAGAGTACAATCTAGAGAGAGAATAGTGATATAATAGAGAAAACAGACATAAGTTATGTAACTAAATAACGAACAGAGGTGAACTCAATTGATGTAGAAATATTGATGATTTGTAAAAAACTGGCAAGTAAAACTTGAGTTGTTGATAAGTAAAATAAGTTATAGGAATCACATATACAAACCCGTATGACAGGAAAACGATACCATTAATACACAGAGTTTATATAATCAATATTGATACT